TATAACACAGCCTATAGAGTATGAATTGTGTCCCAAATGTCCTTCAGTTTTGACGGGAAGGGCGGGTGAGGCTGGGAGCAGCAAGCAGCCAGGCTCTTCTTCCTCCAGCCCAGCATCAGAGCTGCTGACAGCATCTTTAGCAGCCCCTCTTCCAGCCGCTGACACCATATGTATCCTGTGAGGGTGCAGATTAGAGTAGGGTGCTTGGACATAATAGAGAGAGTCAGTGGGCTGGGATAACAGAAAGGCGAAAGGGCTGGGGTTTCACTGATAATCATTCTGTGTGCATTTTTTCTGGTTTTGTGGGTGAGATGTTTGCTGTTTGAAAGCACCATCAGCATTTCCTTTAGGTCTTAGTGTTGCATAGCTTCATGGGCATACAGTACCTAAAGAGGTTAGAGGCCTCCATAACAGCTGACTTCATTACTACTGCTGTTAGGACAGTGATGGGCTGGGAACATGGCCTAGTTGGTAGAGTACTTGCCTGACAGGCCCCAATACCCGAGAGGAAAAGAAGTTCAAGGACCTCCTTGACTATACATGAAGTTTGAAGCCAGCCTGGGATACATGAGACTGTCTCCAAACAAAACAAAAACAATGGTATCTTGAATTTGCCCAATGCCTTCCTTACTCAAAGCCGAACACTCTTTGTTCCCTGTCCCGGGCCCTATGTCCGAGCTGCAGGAAACTGTTACTTCCAGCACCCTAGTGAGCAGGCAAGGAGAGGTCAAGCATCTCACCCCAGAGAGGAGTGTAGGCAGTTAAGTCTAGCACTTGAAGGTGTATAGATCCAGTGACCGGCTGTGCTGTGCTACCTCGGCTTGGTGGCTCTTCATACTTCTGCCCTCCCTCCCAGGCAGCCCTCCAAGCCCTCCTCCCGTTTTCCTTCCCTGCCAGAGGGTGCAGGGGACACTAAGCATTACAGGCTGTGCTGATGTCAATGACAGGACCATTCCCCGAGCGCTTTTGCTTTTCTTATCATGTGTTTAGTAGAGTGACAGGGGGATGCAGAGGGCCTCAGAGCCCTCACTGACCCAAATGCCATTAAGCTCCAGGTGCCTATGAAGTATATTCCATAATAGGATAATGAGAAGTTGCTTTTTACAGCATCTTACAAAGATAATTCCATCGGACAGTTTAGCTTTAGTAGTAATCTGGAAAAATGTGCAGGTAATCTGGGAAGAGGGACAAGGATGGTAACTGTGTGTATTAATTATGTAGGTCCAAATTCAGCTGACTTAAAAAAAACATGATGGTGGGCAATGGTTTGTTTAATGACACCATAATTTAGGAGAAATGAAAATGATTGCCTGCTAAAAATTGCCATCCTTCATTCAAACTTTACAGCTAGGCCCCGCATTTGGACAGTGGTAAATCCATTAGGGAGATGGCTCTGCTAGGGCACTGGGGGATTGGGCAAGAGATGCCACAGGAAAGGGGCACTAACACAGATACAAATGTGTTTAAAGTACTTTTTGCATGTATAAAAATATTTTTCTTTTGGCTACAATTCCTGATCTTGATTAATAAATTACATCAAAATGATCCAAAGTTAAAAAAAAAACGGGGGCGGGGGCAAATCTGAGCAAATAGTGCCCCTGGTATTGTAAAGCTTTGAATGTTTTCACACCCCATTAATTTATTACTTCTCTTTCTTCATCTTTAAATTTCATTTTTTTTTTCAAAAATTCCGACTCCCCGCTGCTGCAGTGATTTCCATCTTGTTGTTAATTTTCCCTGCTCCA